TTAAACCTGATGCACCCCACGCACCCTGTGCACTCTCATTCAACCTTCTTAAACCTGATGCACCCCCATACACCCTGTGCACTCCCATTCAACCTTCTTAAACCTGATGCACCCTCATGCACCCTGTGCACTCCCATTCAACCTTGTAAACCTGATGCACCCCAATATAAACCTGTGCAATCCCATTGAACCTTGTTAAACCTGATGCACCCCAATACAACCTGTGCACTCCCATTCAACCTTCTCAAACCTGATGCACCCCTATGCAACCTGTGCACTCCCATTCAACCTTGTTAAACCTGATGCACCCTCACGCAACCTGTGCACTCCCATTCAACCTTGTTAAACCTGATGCACCCCACGCTCCCTGTGCACTCTCATTCAACCTTGTTAAACCTGATGCACCCCACTGCACCCTGTGCACTCCCATTCCACCTTTCCAAACCTGGACACTTATTTTCTATCCTATAAACCTGATCCGCAGCTACTCACCAAGAGCCATTAAAATGGTAAACGCATACTGTTTTATCTAATCCCTTTCTTTATTACTCTTATTTATTATATAATGGCTTGAGGAGAAGGGGTAAGCACCTGGCACGTACGTTTTAAGGTGTAAATAAGGTAATCATTTCTGTAGTTGCAGTTTTCGAATAGTTGCAGTAATAAAATTACAGTGGTGGAATATTGACAGCTGAATTTGCTCAAGTGAATGTTTAAAAAATCAAGAATTAGAGTATTTGTGGGAGTGCACAGGGAGCGTGGGTGTGCATCAGGTTTGGTAAGGTTGAATGAGAGTGCACAGGGTGCATGGGGGTGCATCAGGTTTAAGAAGGTTGAATGAGAGTGCACAGGTTGCATTGGGGTGCATCAGGTTTAACAAGGTTGAATGGGAGTGCACAGGGTGCGTGGGGGTGCATCAGGTTTAACAAGGTTGAATGAGAGTGCAGAGGGTGCTTGGGGTGCATTATGTTTAACAAGGTTGAATGGGAGTGCACAGGGTGCGTGAGGGTGCATCAGGTTTAAAAAGGTTGAATGAGAGTGCAAAGGTTGCATGGGGGTGCATCAGGTTTAAGAAGGTTGAATGAGAGTGCAAAGGGTGCGTGGTGGTGCATCAAGTTTAACAAGGTTGAATGAGAGTGCAGAGGGTGCGTGGGGTGCATCAGGTTTAAGAAGGTTGAATGAGCAGATATGAATGAGAGTGCGCAGGGTGCGTGAGGGTGCATCAGGTTTGGGGGGTTGAATGAGAGTGCAAAGGTTGCATGGGGGTGCATCAGGTTTAAGAAGGTTGAATGGGAGTGCACAGGGTGCATGGGGGTGCATCAGGTTTAAGAAGGTTGAATGAGCGAGAGTGCACAGGTTTCATGGGGGTGCATCAGGTTTAAGAAGGTTGAATGAGAGTGCACAGGTTGCGTGGGGGTGTATCAGGTTTAAGAAGGTTGAATGATAGTGCACAGGGAGCGTGGGGGTGCATCAGGTTTAAGAAGGTTGAATGAGCGAGAGTGCACAGGTTGCATGGGGGTGCATCAGGTTTAAGAAGGTTGAATGAGAGTGCACAGGGAGCGTGGGGGTGCATCAGGTTTAAGAAGGTTGAATGAGAGTGCACAGGTTTTATGGGGGTGCATCAGGTTTAAGAAGGTTGAATGAGAGTGCACAGGGTGCGTGAGGGTGCATCATGTTTAAGAAGGTTGAATGAGAGTGCACAGGTTGCATGGGGGTGCATCAGGTTTAAGAAGGTTGAATGGGAGTGCACAGGGTGCGTGGGGGTGCATCAGGTTTAAGAAGGTTGAATGAGAGTGCACAGGTTGCGTGGGGGTGCATCAGGTTTAAGAAGGTTGAAT